CATCACCTACCTTCCCATTAATACATCATCACCACTCACCATGAACATCCATCACCACTCCCTGATCATACATCACCACTCTATCGCCCTGCAACAACACCATCACCACTCCCCATCAACACCATCACCTACTCCCCATCCGACACCATCACAATCAGCCCCATCAACACCAATCACACCTACGTCCCCATCAACATCCATCGCACTCCCCCAGCAGACTACCATCACGCATTCCCTAGTCAACACCATCCACCATCTCCAATCAACAGTCAGTCAACTACTCCCCCATCAACATCCATCACCTTAGCTCCCCCATCACACCATCACCACCTTCCCCATCAACACCATCACCTACTCCTCCACCCAATACTCCATGCAACAGTCATCACTACGCCCCTAGCATACATCCACTACCTCTCCACCCTATCAACACTCAGCATCCACTCTCCCCATCAACATCATTAATACTCCCCCATAACATCCACTCACCAACTCCCCATGCAACACCATGCACCTACTGCCCCATGCTAACTGGCCTCACAATTCCTCCATCCAACCATCACCAACTCCCCATCAACACCATCACCACTCCCAATCAACAAATACCATCACTACTACCCATCAACATACAATCATCACTTCACTACCCCCATCAACAATCATCCCATTCGCCTATCAACACAATCACCAATCCCCATCAACACCAATCACTACTCCCATGCTTCAACACCATCACCACTCCCATCAACACCACGTTCCCCCATCAACATCCTCCACACCTCCCCATCAACGCCTCACCAACTCCCCATTCAAAAACCTATCACCACTCGCCATGAACATAATCACCCCTTTCCCCATCAACACCATCCGCCACTCCCCCATCAATATCATCACTAATCCCCATCAACACCAATTCACCAATCCCAATCACACCATCACCACGCCCCCATCAACATCACCACTCCCCATCAAACACAATCAACAAGTCCCCATCAACACCATCACCACTCCCCTCAACACCATCCACCACTCCCCATCAACCACCATCACTCACTGCCCCATCAACCACAATCCACCACGCCTCCCCATACAACATTCATCACTACTCCCCATCAACATCATCACTACTCCCCATCAATCATACAT